GAATTATATAAAACAAAAAAGGAACCACCCGAAGAAATTAAAAACCAACTTAAGGTCAAAATAAAAAATGTCAACTCAGAGCTGCAGCCCGAAATAAGCAAATCAGAAATAAAGAAGGCATTGAAAGAAATGAAAAACAACAAATCGCCTGGAAAAGATGGAGTAACTACAGAGATGCTGAAATATGGTGGAAAAGTGGTAATTAATACTCTACATTCCCTTTTTAACAGGATATTAAAAGAAAAAAGAATCTCAAACAACTGGAAGGAATCAGTAACCATTATCCTACACAAGAAAGGGGATAAAGCAGATATAAAAAACTACCGTCCTATAACACTCCTCAATGTAATGTATAAACTCCTAACAAAAATTTTAACCAATAGATTGACGACAAAATTCGATGGATACCAGTCGAAAGAACAAGCTGGTTTTAGAAAGGGATTCAGCACAAGTGACCATTTACTAAGTATGAAAATACTTATAGAACGAGCAAATGAATACCACATTCCTCTATATATGGCGTTCATAGATTTCGAAAAGGCTTTCGACAGTGTCGAACATTGGGCAGTGAAAAGTTCCTTGATTAACAGCCGAATTGACCACAGATATACGGAACTAATAACCAATATATATAAGGAAGCCAAAACAAAAATTAAAGTATATGAAGGAACAAAATCATTACAAATAAGTAGAGGCGTGAGACAGGGTGATACAATATCACCGAAACTTTTCAATCAGGCTCTTGAAGATACTTTTAAAAGATTAGAATGGGAAAAAAAAGGTATAAAAATTTGTGGACAACGCTTGAACCATCTAAGGTACGCTGATGACATCGTATTGATAACCGATAAAAAAGATGAATTATTTGAAATGATGAAAGAACTGGACGTAGAAGCTGGAAAGATAGGCCTTAATATGAATTACAGCAAGACCAAAACTATAACAAATACAGATGAAGACATCACAATGAGAATCGGACAAGATGAAATAGAACAAGTTAAGGATTATATACATCTTGGTCAAACTATAAAACTTAACAAAGAGAACCAAACAGCAGAGATCAAGAGACGAGTTAGACTGGCATGGGCGGCATTTGGCAAACTAAGCTACATTCTTAAAAACAAAAGATATCCACAGCATCTTAAGACCAAAGTATATAATCAATGCGTACTCCCTGTTCTTACGTATGGCTCCCAAACGTGGACATTTACAAAAGCAAACATGGACAAAATCATAAAAACCCAAAGAGCAATGGAAAGACAAATGTTGCACATAAGACTAATGGATAAGAAGAGAAACGAGTGGATAAGAGAGAAAACAAAAGTGAGGGATGTTAGACAAGAAGTTGCAAAATTGAAATGGAGATTTGCCGGACACAATATAAGACAAAAAGAAGACCGATGGAACAAAATTCTTATAAGTTGGAGACCGTGGGAATATAAACGAAGCAGAGGAAGGCCCCAAATGAGATGGGCAGATGATATCAAGAAGCACGTGGGCTCTAGATGGATGACTGTTGCGACAGACAGAGAAGAATGGAAAAGGATTGGGGAGGCCTATGTCCAAAGATGGACCGAAGAAGGCTAATTAGATAGATAGATTAGATCATGTTACAAACAACACTGTGATCCAACGTATGAATAAAGATCTGCAAATTATGCGTATCGTGAAAATCAGAAAGATGACATACTTAGGGCATGTCGTGCGCAATAAGAAGTATCAACTAATTCAACTAATGTTACAAGGCATAATAGAAGGCAAAAAATCTCAAGGGAGCAGAAGGACATCGTGGTTAAAGAACATCAAACAGTGGGAAGTAATGACTACCATACATCTATTTAGAGCAGCTGTCAACAAAGTTGTATGGACCGATGTGATGGCCAACATCCACAGAGGATAGGCTCCAAAAGAAGAAGTATTGCGAATAAATATTCTAAATTATTGAATGGTGAAAATACGTCCAATACGATGATTTCATTATTCGAAAATTCTTCTCTGTAAAAGTCATTTTCATATATGTTTTTGTGAAAAATATATTTGAAATTAAACATTATTTTTATATCTTTACTACGCAAAAATTAATAATTTTCGTTAAGGAATCAACAGTTAAAATAACACCAATGCTTTATGCATCCCCCAGTATAAATAGAAAAAAAAACATACTTAAATTGTTTTCCACAAAACGTGCACAGGCCTTTGACGCTGTCCTCGACATTATGGTGAGTCTTAATGTGAGTATTTATGTCTTCAACAGTTTCATTGCACTGTAGACAAAATCTATCCAATAATATATCACTAAAAAAGTTAAAATAATTAAATTTCAAGGTAATGGTATAAGGACACACACATTAGTTGCATAGATAAAAACTTGTCTTTCTCATATTGATATATGGTGAATAGCAAAATTTGTTTAGTATTAATATACCTAAATAAAAACACATAATTTCTAATTTTTTAAGTGGGTATTTTTGATGTTGTTTCCCTATTTATAAGAGTTTCCTAGAAGACGTTCTAAATTTAATTGAGGGACTAGTTTCCAAGGATATGGTGGAATTATACCGTATTTGCCTCACTACCACCTACTTTTCATAAGAAGACCAGATTTATGAACAGGTAGATGAAGTAGCAATGATAAGACCACTAAGCCCAGTCGTAGCCAACCTTTTCATGGAGCATCTAGAGAAGAGAGTAATAAAAAATTTTCCTGTCTTATATAAACACACTACATCCAAACATTACAATTTACGATGGAAACACAGAAAGATCAACAACTAGCGTTCCTAGATGCATTAATAAATTTAAAGGAAGGTTACTTAGGACATAAAGTGTATCGAAAACCTACACACAGACAGATACCTAAACAGGAACTCAAATCATCATCCAGGCCAAAAACAAGGTATCATCAAAACTCTGGAGGAGAGGGCGAAGAGAATTTGTAAGCCACAGCATCTGCAAAGTGAACTTCTTCGTATTGAAAAAGAGCTCACCTCTAATGTTTATACCAGAAGAAAAATACATAAAGCGATTAACAACGTTTCTAGAAAAAAGGATGAAGAAACAGCATGTATAGGCAAAGCATTTCACAGTGGAGGGGAGGCGAGTAGAAAATATAAATATGACCTCCGTAGTACAACTCCGTAGTACAACTACGTCAGTTTCAGCTTACAAGCGAAGCAGTAACATCTCAAGAAGATTCCAACCTCTAGTATTGCGAAACGTCGAGAACTAATCTCAAATGACAACGGCCTAATAGCCCCAACAAACAGTTTAACAAAATTGAAAAAGTTTACATGTTATATAACGGACTTTCCTTGTCGCGTAGATGAACTCTTCAAACTATTTACTGTGACTACGAACCATAAACCGCTATTTCGTTTCGTGGTGTTAGTTTCGTGTCTTTTGCTTCAGCATTTTACTGTAAAAAAAAGTAATACATACAACACCATATAGAAGCGTCGCTTCAAAACAACATTATTTGAAGAAAAAGTTATTTTCTTCTGGGATGTTTATTTTCTAGACAACCATGGGATTCGCACATCGACATACATCGTTAATAGCAAAATAAGTTGGTTGCTTGATTTTCACCTCAATTTTAAGAGATGTTAGTAAAAACAAATATTTATTAGTTACTTAATAAAGAAGGCTTATTACACTTTGTCATTGGCAGTGGGATGTAGAGCATGTGTTGGAGAGGTAGAACCTTTTATCGCCTCTCGCTTACTCTCACATGCGTCACACTCCAGTCAATGACATTGGTCCGCAGTCTAGAAAGAAACGCAATACCATTGCATTAATATTTTCTTACAAGTTATAACAGTAAACTGTAATGAGAAAAAAAGTACTGATTACGGACCTCAGAAGTCGAGATCCAGCAACATACGTAATCCCTACAAAATGGAAAAAAGCAACACCAACACGCTCTATCAGGTACAACAACCTGTCATGTTTCATCGTTTAAAGATCTGACCTACTGAATCTCGACCGAAATGCGGACTCTTGTACGATCGTAGCGATCTACGATTGCCTGGTAAAGTCACATTGATTTAGACCTTTCGACTCTGGAAATTTCAAGAGATGTCGTTGGACTCGAAAGGATGCGGCCTTAGAGGCGTTCAGGCGTAATCCCGTCAATGTAGTAGTCAAGTAGTCACTCGACTACTCTACTCGATCGCCCACAAGAGTAAGATGTCAACTAAATGTCCGAACCTGCTTTTCCTTTCATACTGAGCAGAATTACTATCGCAATAACCAATCATCAGCAAGGTAACACTAACCTGTCTCACGACGGTCTAAACACAGCTCACGTTCCCTCTTTATTGTTGAACAATCCAACCCTTGGTGAATCCTGCTTCTCAAAAGTAGAAAGAACTAACATCGAATGATCAAAAACGCCGCTACAAGCCAGTTATTTCTGTAGTAACTTTTCAGTCACCTATTGCTGAAAACTTTTCAAGCCAAAAGAATGATTGGAGATGCTTTCGCAGTCGTCATGCACACTGAACATCAGTATCAAGCCAACTTTTGACTTTTTGCTTTACGCGAGGTTTCTGTCCTCCCTGTGCTGGCCTGTGTAAGACATCTGTTATATTCTTTGATAGATGTACCACCTCAGTCAAACTCCATGACTGACAGTGCCGTCGAATCAAATCAGGATAGAGATAAGTTGGAGCTCTAAATAAAGTACACGAACGCTAGCCTGGTATCCGATAGGCAAGCCTTATTGGAAGTATGAAGGCGACGAACGGCACAACGCAACGAAATGTTACTCTGTGCTCATTGCTCAAGAATATCGGGGACAGTCTTGGGTAGAAAGATATCCGAACAGTATGCAAACATAAAAAACGAAATAGCAAGGGATAAATACAAACCAAAAAGAACAAACTTAAAGATATAAATATATAAAAATATTGATTACCTTTGTTTTTCATTTTTAAATTGTTTCATAGAGCAAATATGTTTATCATACTCTTTCTGACCAAAGGTATCATTACAAATTATACATCTAAGCATACTGTGTACTTTGGTATGTGCTAACATAGTGTGTTTATCTTCAAACGTTTTTGAGCATACTTCACAAGTAACTTTATGAATTTTGTTGTGAGCTTTCAGTTGTCTTTCTGATACAAAATTCTTCTGACAAGTTTGACAAGTAAATTGGGGATTTGCTGAAAGAAATAAAGGAAATTTAAAACTAAAAATGAGATTATAATTCTGTTGTTCTAGATATTTAACATGGAACTATTAATCCTCAATCACATATTTTTAAAATTTTAACAATTGGCTAAAAGTTATTTTAAAACAGAAATGCATTATTTTTTAAAGATTGTTCATTTGAACAAAACAATGACCCCATAATATTGAAACTGAAATACTGTATGTATCATATAAAATATCAATCTGCAAAAAAAAGTTAACAGAAAGATTTGTGAGAAATACAGAGGAAATAACTTCACCAGCTCAATAGGGAGATTGTACAGCCATGTCCTGAAAGAAAGTATGTATTGTTCTGAAGCTATTTTCTTGTGGCATTTTAAAGTAATTACTATTTAAATGGGAATAAGCCACAATTAAAGGTAAAAATACGTTTATTGACGTTTCAATTTCCACTTCGGAAATCTTTCTCAAAATACTAACAATTTGTATTTTGTCATCCCATATTTATAGATCTGAAAAAAGCTTACGATATTGTGTCTTGAAGAAAGCTATTTAATGTTTTGACAAAGGGCTGTGACAAATGTTTTTCTCAAAAAAAATTGTTAAAAATATGTTTATAGTTCAACTTTAGATTCACAATGTCAAGTCATAAATTAAAATAACAGCATACAGGGAAAACTGGTGGTGACTTAAAAATCTTATAAATAATGTCAAAACCAACTCCAATTTAGATTTTTTCAATGGTTTCATATAAATGTTTTTAGTAAATTGCTTAGATAAAATGTTTCTTACATTCCAAACAATTGTTTGAATCATTACCTACCTGAATGAGAAAGCAAATGTTCTACCAAATGACTTGAAGATTTACATTTTTTATCACAAAATGAGCATTTTAATTCATCCTTGTGCACTGTCTTTATATGTTCTGAAAGGTTGTCTTCAATTTTGTTGCACTTTCTACACCACTTTTCTTTAATATCCCTAAAAATGTGGTTTATATAGATTAGTAAAAATCTGAACATCTACAAAACAACTAACTTCATAATATAATTGAATCTGATGATGTGACAATCCACGCAAATTATGGTTTGGTTTTGCAAATTTTAACACACTTTTGAGCTTAAAGGATTCGCCATTACTACTCTATATCATCTAGATAAAATTATGTTACTCACTATTAAAAATAACTTCTGTTATATGAATGATATAGTATCATTAGAGAACAATCATAGTCCTTAGTTTCTTGTTATTTAAGACATCTTTCCAATGTGATAACCCTAATGATAGAACATTATGACATATTTTGATTAAAGTAAAAAAGAAAACAAGTTGATTTCTTTACACTCACATCTCATTTTCTATTATTTAGATTGTTTATAAAACAGTCATATTATATGTAAATCCCGTTGAAATATAATAAGAAATCTGAATGGTATACCCAAGTAGCAAATATTTTGTTACTGAACAACTTGATGTAGAGAATTCCATATGAGTGTGGTTGGAAACATGACTGCAGATTATTGGATCCAATTGCCTAACCAATTTTTGTTTTTGAACAGACAATCCATGTATACTTCCATACAGAAAGATAAGGGATATAGATGTTCAAACCAATGTACAAATTTAATGAAAGAAGAAACAGATCAGGTCTCTAAAAAAGTAAGAAGATCCACAATACAACACTACATATGTATGCTTAAAGAAACTATTAAATTATATAGCTATAAAACTAGGATATTTCACTAAATTATAGTAGCTTTGGTTATTTCTGCCTAGCACCTCTATACAGCAAACTCTAATATGACACATACCCATGATTTTTAGTCATATGAAGAGATAATGTCCTATTATTCATGCCTGTAAATGAGCAAAATAAGCACTCCTTAGCTTCATAAAACTTCAACCTTGTCTCATTTACAACACTCATGACTTCCTCAGCATCATGCTGACTTAGTTTTGTTTTCTTTACTTCTTTTTTTAACGTTTCTTGGCTGTCATCCTCACTTGAACTGTTGCTATCATTTTCGAAAATAATAGATATATCTTCGATTACTTCTGGTGCAGAACTTTCTTCCTTGTATTCATCCTTTATAGGAAATTCTATAGTAAGCAATTTATTATCAACATATTCTGTTATAATATGTTGTGATTTTATCGCTGTTTGTTGAAAGTTGTAGGAAATTCTTAATTTTTCTTCACAATTAACACATATATAGCTTGGAAAACCCTCCAATATATTTATCTAAAATGTACAAAATATTTAATATTAACAGGAATATGTTCATTTATGTAGCGTGTAGCTTTTTATAACAGGAAATTCCAACAAAACAACAATAACTTTTTAAATATATTACCTCAAAACTTATGATGAAGGATAACATGGAAAGTAATTCTGAAATGTCATCAGTTGGTTTTAATAAACACTTCATATCGTCTTTCTTGTTTAAACAAACTCTGCATAATTCATTGAATTCAGTAGACATGGTTAAAACAGTATCATAAATAATTCATATATTACTACTGTTACTACTTTTAAACTGTAAACAGAAATATAACCTATATGTGTAGTGTACAGTCTGTCACTGTCAAATTCTTCTTTTTAGTCTTTTATCGGACTAGAAAATTTTGAGATGTGTATTTCAGCAATTATGTGTAATAATAAAACTATTATAGTTAATCTAAAATATTTATTAATAACAAATAGAATATTTAAATGTCAACAAAACATAGGGAGGTTGTTATAATTCCTCTTTCTTTTTAGAAACTATATGCTGCATGGCAATTCTTACTCCTTCTTTGGTGTCCCTAAAACAACAAAAAGATCAAATTTAGATATAAAATGAAATAGTATAAAAAAACTTTAACGTCGAAGTAAAAACTTCTGTTGAAATTGGTATATTTAATTAAAAAATTTAAACAAAAACCCAAATGGATTATAATAATGTTCAGAATGTTTTCGGACTTACCAGTCCAAGGTAAATCGAGGATTTTACATTGTAGTTAACTAACAACGATTTTAACTATGCTAAGTACTTTAAAGTGACTTTTATGTATAAAATTCATTTTACTAGATCAATAATGTTAACGTCCAAATAATGTATTACTTGTAGCAACAGTAAAATACTAGCGTTTCTAAGTTCAATAAAGATTTCATTCCTCACCTCTCCAAATTGGTTTCCTTCTGTTCTTGGAATAAATCAAAAATACCAATTTTCTCCAACAAATCTAATCCGTTATCAGCAGCATTATTTCTAGCTTCAGACTCAGTTTTGCCTTCACCAAAGCAGATCTAAAATGAAATTTTTATATTAAACAGAAATAATTTTAATAAAAAAATTACAACTTACATATTCTGGATTGGTATAAAGAGATAGTAGAGATGCATGTTTATCAATTTCAGAAATATCCATATAAGATATTCCAAAGCCTAATATGTTGCTTATTTCTAACAGTTCGTCTTGAAATGCTGATTTTTTAGTTCGTGGCTGCTGTTTATCGCTTTTCTTTTTTGATTTTACTTCCTTAGGTTTTGCCTCGTAGTCAGTTGAATCAGTAGGCTAAAACAAGAAACAATTAGGTTTACTCAGTGTATTACACGCTCTATATGTTCGCACAAAGAAATTATTGAAAACGTTAATTCATAAAATAAAGGATATCACACTAATAGCAAATGATATATTACTGAGTTTCAATGTACAGTATCAGTAGATGAGGTACTAGTGGACAGAATGATCTAACGGGGTGGCAATAGTAAGTCAGTTTATTGTAAAACTCTCATACAAAAATTCATACAAGCCCTGTAATTAACAGATACAAAGTCACAGCCTTGACTCCATATGCGAATGATATTTTTATGATCTAGAAGGTTTCGTTTACACACCTACTAAGATGTTTATTAACATTACAATCTGATCAGCATTGATTAAAAAGCAACGTTTCTCTAATCTAAATACATAAAGAAAATGAAAATAGGAAAAGATCCTTTATCCTTTAACCCTCGGTTAGTGTTCTGGGGTATACCATACTATTCTATAAAATCGAAAGTAGATGAAATAGCGCCTAGTAGCTGTAATTTATACATGTTTTCTCACGATTACCTTGTTAACAGATGTACATACAATTTCAGTTTGAATTAGGAGTTGGTCAAAGACGGTTAGGGTGTGTGATACCCCGGTACACTACTGTTGTAACTTTTAGTTGTTTTGGGTCCTAGAGGTAAATTTACATGATATTTTTTCGAGATATACTATGATTTTTATTTTTCTTTCAGTGATAATGAATTATAGAATAATATGCCTTACGAATAAGAGAAGGAAAGGTTTGTTTATGGGCGGAGTTTAGCAGTATTCCTGACAATAATAAATCGTTCATTGTTAGTGAATCTGAGGAAGAACAAACCGCATTAGAAAGTCGAAAGACAATCGTATTGGAAGAAGGGGCCTTGGAGAGACAGCACACAAAAAGGAGGATGCTGAAGAAGTGGAGGCTGAAGAAGAAATTGAATATTCAAGTGGTTCAGAAAGTGGTAGTGAGAATAATAAGAGATACTTTTTAGATAAAGACAAATCAAAGTGGTTCAAGCTTCCAAAAAACAAACAAGTGAGAACAAGGTCGGACAATCTAATTACATATTTATCTGGTGTAAAAGGAATAGCACGAGAAAAGCAGAGTGTTCTTGATTGTTGGTTGTTATTCTTTACAGAAGAAATGTTAGATGACATTGTTGACTATACAAATGTAAAATTAGCGACGAAAGCCCCACGGTACAATGCATGACATCAGTATTTAGTCAAAGATACTGACAAAATAGAAATCAAAGCTGTTATACGCCTGCTCTATTTGACGGTACTTTACAAGTCAAAGCGACAAAATATTTCAGATCTTTGGAATACTGATGGCAGCGGTATTGATCTAATTCGAACAACAATGTCATAACAAAGATATTCCATTTTGTTGCAATGTTTAAGATTCGACAATGTGCAAAATAGAGTAAAACGGAAACAGATCAACAAATTAGCAGCAATTAGAGGTATATTTGTATTTGTATATATAAGTGCGTATGTAGAATCTGTTTTTCTATTATTGAAAGCCCTTTTATGTTCTGCTATTAGTTTATTAAAATTTCTACCAGTTTGACCGATGTAAGTTTTTGGGCAGTCGCCACATTTTTAAATAATCAAAATATTGAAACGGTAAACAAAGATCCGACAGAAAAGTATCAAAAAGAAATTAAGAAAATTCAAAATCAATAATAAGTTCAATACAACAGAAATACCTCTATATCATGAACACGCAGCCTCCTAAATTATACTCTTTTATTAAACTACACAAACCGGATCACCCAATAAGACCTGTAGTTTATTTTTATACAGCTCCGACATATAAACTTTCACAAAAACTGTTAGAGATTATTTTAGAACACACTAAATTTTCACCTAAATTTACCACAAAAAATACAAATACAATACAAAGTTTTCAGTTTTTTATTGTTACATAAATTGTGTTATGTTTGGGTTGATGTTTTTACTTATTTGTAATATCAAATCGGATTCTAATTGTAGTTTGTTTCTGTATTTGATTTTGAGATATATAAGAACAGCAAAGCTATCTTCACAGAAGTATGTGGATGAGGAAAGCAGCAAATGTTTCAGTGCTTCTTCTGATATTTCTTTATCCACTGTTTTTAAATTCACCTAAAAACTTGGTAAGGAAGATTCTTTGAAATGACGTTTTAAAGCTGAATCACATGATATTTATATTAATTGATTGTCCTACATTGTTGTCAATCTGATGATATCTGAAACATCTGCGTTGAAAGGGTAAGGTATCCAGTTTTTATTTCTGTCCGGTTCTGGAAAATAATCCCAAAAAGAAGACCGCAAACCTTGAAGGTGTTTAATCATTTCTTCTTAATTACAGTTTTTTTTTATCATAGGTTTCTCTTTTATCTTCAACTTGGAAGATGTTGTTATCTCCTCCTTGTAGACTTAAGTTCAGCTCGTTAAGGGCACTAAAGTAATCAGTAAATTTTCCCACAATTGAAAGCCATTCAAATGTTATTGAAATTATCAGCTTGTTTATTTCTGTTGCCTGCTAAATTCTTATAAAAAAAACACGCGACACGACTTTGCCACGAGACAACCAACGCACCTCAGCATAAAATAACAACTGCTTATGAATGCTATGCATGTCTACACAAATCATACCGAAAATTAAGCCGAGTCTCATAGTTTAAAGGTGTTTCGTTCAATTTTTGAATGTCCTAAAGGATCCTTAGTGATGCCCGAAATAAGCCACGAAGAAATAGAAAGAGCACTAAAAGAAATAAAAAGGAATAAAGCTCCTGGAAGCGATGGAATTATAGCAGAAATGCTGAAGGAAGGCGGAGAAGAAGCCATCACATATCTAAAAATATTATTTAATAAATGTCTATTCCAAGGCAACATACACAAACAATTGAATACTGCTAAAACAATACTAATACACAAAAGGGAGACACCACAGACCTGAAAAATTATCGACCAATTTCACTTCTTTCACAACTTTACAAAACCTTTACAAAGATTATTACAAACAGGTTAACAATTAAATTTGACGGATATCAACCAGTAGAACAAGCCGGATTTAGAAAAGGGTACAGCACCTGTGACCATGTATACACTTTAAAAATCCTAATAGAAAAGACTAACGAATACAATCTCCCATTATGTCTGGCTTTTATAAATTATGAAAAAGCTTTTGATAGCGTAGAACTTTGGGCAATAGATGAAGCATTTAATGTTAGTCAACAACCGGATCGACTCCAGGTACAGAATAGTAATACATAATATTTACAAACAAGCTGAAATAATAGTGACATTGGGTAATGGAATCTAAACAAGACCAGTAAAAATCAACCGAGGAGTAAGACAAGGAGACACAATATCTCCAAAATTATTTTCAGCTGCGCTAGAAGATATCTTTAAGTCAATAGACTAGGAAAATAAGGGAATCCCTATTAACGAAAGATACTTGAACCATCTTAGATACGCAGATGATGTAGGACTAATAGATGATATATCTAATGCACTGAATACTATGATTGAGGAGCTACACATAGAATCCCTAAACGAAGAACTGAAAAAGAATTTCAGCAAAACTAAATTACTAATGTTAAACAAAGATAACAAACCTATGATAAACATCGAAGGGACAGAGATAGAACACATAGATGAATATACATATCTAGGTCAAAATGTCAGACATGTAAAAATGGGATGGGCAGCGTCCGGAAGACTCTCATACGTACTTAAAAATAAAAATATACCTCAAAGACTGCGAACCAAAGTGTTCAATTCCTGTATCCTACCTGTGCTTACATATGGAGCTCAAACCTTGACTTTCACTAAAATAAACATGGAGAAGATCAGAAAAACTCAGAGAGCTATGGAATAACAGATGCTGGTTATCTCACTCAAAGACCATAAAACCAATGAAGACATTCGTAATAGAACAAAGGAAAAAGATGCTGTCGAACACGCAGCTAAACTGAAATGGAAATGGGCTGGACATAACGAACGTCGTACAGATGGCCGATGAAATAAAGCAATCGGGAACTGGCAGCCATATGAAGCCAAAAGACCACGAATAAGACCGTAAATGCGATGGAGCGACGATATTAAAAGAACTGCAGGGCCAATGTGGAAACATCTTAGAAACAACAGGGATGAATGGCGAGAATTAAGAGAGGCCTATATTCGGCAATCCGAATAGAGAAAAGGACTTTAAAAAAAAGGATCCAGTTATATTAAACTATATATGTCCTATAAAAACCCCGATTTTAAAGTCTATAAACTGGAGAAAATCTTGAAAAACAATACAACTTATTGTAATGGGTAGAAGATATTCTGCCAAGCATTTTAAGAGGTTGCTCAATAAAGACTGGTCATGTATTTTCTTTTATCTACCTTTCTTTGTTTCTGTATGTTTATACAGAGTGACTGATTAGTAGATCTTTTATAGATCTACTAATCTGTTATAGATCTACTAATCTCAGTAGATAAGTCTATAAGCTCAGTATATCTGTTATAGAAAGATTTTAAAAAAAGTTTGACAACAATTGAAGGCAGCTTTAAATTACTCATTGAGCTACAATCTTACAGGGTGTTTCATAACAGCTTGCCAGATCAAAGAAATGTTTTTTTGCTAATGTTAAAATATGGAGTTAAAAACTATCTACAATTTTTTTAAACAACTTTTTTTGTATCATTTATTATAACAGGAACAATGAGCTTCCTTACACTAATCAGTGACCCTGTATAAAATATAAAAAATATATTAAAAACAAACATACCTGTTCTTCTTCCCCAAAAATATTTGTGGTCATTAGTTTAATAGATTCTCCAACTTTGTCAAGCATCATCCCAATTTCGTCAAACTTAGTTTTAATCAGCTTGTTCTTTTTATTTTTATTCCTTTTATTTTGTTTCTTGTCATTTTTTACAAAATTCCTAGCTTCTACCTCTATTGGAAGAGGCTCCAATTCAGCTATTTTTGCCAACATATTGATAGCAGCATCTGTTTTTGATTCTTTTTTAGAAAATCCTTCGCCTTCTGTTACAATATCACCCAATCTACATTCAGTTTTGAATGTTTTCTTGTGAGACGGTCCAGATTCTTTTATGACCTCAAATTCTACACTCAATTTCCTTTTTTGTGCTTCTTCATATACTTTGGAAATGGGTGACTTCAGTTCATCTTTATTCTTCTTGCATTCAGCTTCAGATCCTTAAAATATTTAAAAAATGTTAATGTTTTGCAATATAATAAAAATAAATATGACATACGTTTATCAACTAGAATTTATTAAAAAAGAAACTATGAAATTTATTTATAAATAAGAAAAATATAAAAAAAAAAGTTTAATAGGAAAACTATGAGTGATATTAAAAATTCCTTCAGTATAAATATGAAGATCGGTAGTGGTTACAAACTAAAATAAATATACACAGTGTGTCCCAATCTACAGCCAGGGTTGAAAACATGTGTTTTTTAATTTTATACAAAACACATTTTTTTTGTTTTAAACCTGTTCTTTTTTGTTTTTAAATGTTATCTTAAATATTATGTTTTTCATGGGATTAAGCTACATTTATTGGTTGTGATTGTGATGAAAATCACATTTTTAATTAACTAATATTTGACTTTTTGATTTCCACTCCGGAAATCATTCTATACCAAATTCATTTAAGAGAAAAGTAGCCGTCAACAAATACATACACAGAACACGTGAAACCTGACGTTTATATAATCGTACAGGGTTGTATTAAGATTCTAACATTCTATAACATCTGAATTTGAAATGAATTAATTTATAATTTTTAGGATTACTGTTAAAATAATAGTAATCAATGATTAATCTTCCAACGAAGTATACTTAAATATTAAGTTTTTGAAAACTGTCATTTAAGACCAATATTTGGAAATAAGTAATAATATTATCATTATTGATATAAAAAAGACCTCTTATATATAATAGACTTATACATTTCACATTGCATTAACATTAATAAATAAAATTTATTTAGTCGACGTTTCAATTTCGATTTAACATTTATTTGTGTCATCAGAAACGAATGTATATTTAGAAGGATTGTGATGCCACTATTTTTGACTTTGATGCCAGTTATGTCAAAGATGGTTCGAGATATCAAAATGCCGTTTTCAGATTTTGATTCAGGAGAGGAAACTATACATGAATCCATCGATAGATCGTCCCCAACTATTGCATAGGCGACAACGCACAAACTAACATATTTTGCGGATGTAAAACGAACGTTTTCTTTAAAAATGATGAAAAAACTTTTTACTATTACATATAAGTAACATTGAATTACGAAAAATAAGTACTGGAAAACTACATAGGTACAATGGGTAAAATGAGTCACAGTTTTTCATTTTTAAAATATTCCATTTTGTTTATGTAATCTCGAATAATTTAGTATCTTTTATTTATTATTGCTACTCATTTCCACTTCAAAAGCTAGATCCACCTTCAACCGGATTGGGGCCTTCTTTAAGAGCCACAACCTCTCTCTTGCTTGATATGTGCAGAAAATTGGAAGCATTTGAGATGTGGCTGTATCGGAAAATACTTAAAATCCCGTGGACTGACCGAGTCACCAATGAGGAAGTCCTGAGAAGAATGAAGAAGAACGGACAGGTACTGACCATCATCAACTCTAGAAAGTTACAGTACTTTGAACACATTATGCGAAATGAATACAGATATGCCCTTCTAAAGGCGAATTATTGAACCTGGTCGCCTGGTGTGCAAGAATGATGACAAAAATTCGGTCGTGATGAGCAATTCCGAAGCATTGAAGTAGTTCAAGGCTCTGCTGTGCTACGTTTAAAGTCAAGAAACGCGACTTGCTGTGCAAGTGACGCGATGCTCTTAAAAAGGATGAGAGACATGGCTTCAAAAAAACGTGTTCGGTGTGTAAAGCAGCAGAAAATAACTATTATATAAATTTCAGGTCGTTTACAGCTACATATTTTTAAATGGTCTTGATATCCGGATTTTTTCAACTCCGGTCGGTGAGTCGCCACATTGATCCGGATGTGGCAGGTTATATTGTATATAGTTTAAAAACTTGTGGAAGATGGAAAATCACATATTATGCACTATTATCTCCTTTTTTTGTTGTTATTGTCACAGGTTTTTACAAGGTAAAGACCTTTAGGTCTTTACCTAAAGGTCTTTACCTTGTAAAACCTTTTATTTACACATATACAATGTGGAAACCACTTATTGAATAAAATTGTTTGTGTCCTTATTATAGAATATAATAAAAACTCTGGGACACGTTAACTTTTAATTAAATGTGCGCTTTTTAAACATAAATTTCAATGTACAAGGTGATCCACGCAAGTCTGGCATAGTCCACAATCCTTATTTTTAATGAAATATCCTGCATATTTTTATGTTTTTAAATGATTCTTAACAACCTGATTTCAACGAACTATATCATGTAGGGTCTATAATGAAGTATGAGTAGCAAACTTATTTAATCAGAGGTATCCTAGGTTGCCTAATATTTCACAAGGTACTATGTCTAAAATTTATGCACAATTCAAAGAACTTGGACATGTCAAACCATTAAAAAAGAAAACCAAACTTTTTTTAAAATGAGGTGAAAGTGGATATTTTGTTAAGTGTCGCAGAGAATCCAACGTCAAGTTCACGTCAAATTGCACGTCAAAATAATGTGAGTCACACAAGACACAACTATCCTAAGATGTCTTAATGAAGAAACACTTCATCTATATAAATTGACTTTTGTGCAGGAGCTAACAGAAGACGATCCAGATCGTAGAATGGATTTCTGCGAAAGAATGATCGACAAAATTTACAGGCAAAACTGTAGATATTGGTCAGCGGATAATACTCATTTGATCGTTAGACACACTCAGTATCCTCAAAAGTTGAATGTTTGGTCAGGTATTATAGGAGATCATAGTATTTGTCCTATATTTGTAGATGGTAACTTGACAGCGGAAAAATATTTAAGCATGCTAAGAGACGATGTTCTTCCTCAGTGGGCCAACGTGCATGCTAAGAGACGATATTCTTCCTCAGTTGGCTAACTTTTATTACAATCCAATAGATCTGACCCTACCGCATAAAACTGTCTGGTTCCAGCAGGACGGTGCAACACCCCATTATGGTTTTTTGGTGAGAAATTACTTGAATGAAATCTTCTTCAATAAATGTATTGGACGAAGGGGTACTATTTAGTAGCCAGCTAGGTCGTCAAATCTCACGCCTTTGGATTTTTTCTGTGGGGTTATCTCAAGAACAAAGTATATGCAACACAACCAACTAGCATTGAAGACCTCAAAGAAAGGATAAGTACAGAAATACGGAATATTTCACCTCAAACTTTAAACAAAGTTCGGGACGAGATTTATATGAGACTGTGTTATTGCCAACAACAAGGTGGAGAACATTTTGAGCATTTATTTTAATGTAATCCAATCAATTACCTCAGGTATTCTATGTATTAATTGTCTTGAAGAAAATTACACTTAATTTCAAAATTTCACCTTGTATTATTCCTATAATACAAGGTATAATAGTGTGTAAATAATGTATAATAGACCCTACATGATATAGTTCGTAGAGATCGGGTTGTTAAGGAGTTTTTAAAAACATAAAAATATATAGGGTGTTTTATTTAAAATACAGATTATGGACTATGCCAGACTTGCGTGGATCACCCTGTATATTTAAATTTATGTTTAGGAAGCGTACATTTTAATTTAAGTTAACGTTTCATAGAGTTTTTTATTATTTTCTATAATAAGGACACAAACAATTTTATTCCATAAGTAGTTTACACACTGTATAATGATCAACATATCACCTCACTACAATCATAGTGTCATAAGGAAAAGATGAAGACAGACAGTACCCTGGATGTAAGAGGAAAACTTCTTATTGGCGATATCTATATTTTTGATTTTTAACAAATCAATCGATCGTTTCTGTAACACTTTGAAAGTAAATATTAGATTGTGAGTATTGACCTTTTTAATATATCTGTTCAATTATGGACTCACACTTGCAACCCTTTTATCATCATAATAGATAATTATTATAATAGAGTCAAAATAATATCAAATATTATCAACTTAAATTGATAGAAAACAGCAAACACCTTAAAAATTTTCACAGTTCTAAGTTTATTTAAATAACACTATAATTATAAACCAACACTTTAATTATACCAACATACACACATAAAGCTACTAAAAGTTAAAATTATATTTATATAATTAAATTCAACAGACATAAATGTGATTCTTAAGGATTACTGAATCCATATCTGTGTTAAAACTGCAAATTAAGCGTTTTTGTCTAGAGGTGAGATTGCCGTTACTTGTGAGTTTCTACTTGTTACTTTTGATACGCTTTTGTATATAATCAGTTACAATATAAGTGATTTTGTAACAAGTAGATACCTCTTCAGCATCTCTAGAGATTGTGAATGAATTTATCAGGCATTAATAGTGTTGATATTCTACTTTTCTGTTAGGCGAATATAGTTTAAAAACAAAAGGTTTTGTTATCGGTTATGGATAACTAATAACAAAATCTTTGGTTATACACATTTCTATGTAACTTTTACAAAAAAACCTTTTCATGTGATTTCATTGTGATGAAAAGTGTTTTTCGTCACAATCACAACCAATAATTGTGGTTTAATCCTATAAAAAACATAATATTTAACTTAACCATAAGACAAGAAAGTAGTACCAGAAACTTGTTTAAATTTTATGTTTTAAACAAATAAACCTTGGGAAAAAATATTGTTTAAATCATATTTTCTTAATATTAATCGAAAATGTTTGATCTATTAATCTACTAAATAATAGATATCTTATCTAAAGTTTACTGTATACTATAGACTAAACTGTCGCGATCAGCTGTTCTGAACTATGTCCCTCCACCGCCTTGAGGCTGTGCTGGTGAATCCCTGACATAAGAAAACCAACTGCAATGAGGAGCTATTGGCCTGGGGGAACCCCATACTATTTACTATTTATAAATTCGCATGGCCATAATGTCTACCATAAGTTATTTTGTGGTGTTTTAGTACTTTTTTGAAGAAAAAAATGTCAGGAATGCTAGAAAAAAGCAGAAAATATTCAATAAGGAGTGACGAGATCAGAACAAAATGTAATTTACTGGGTATAAATGAGTTGACACTAAATAGAAAAACAAAGAATGGATCAATCACAGTAGAATGGCACGCAGAAGAGTCATTAAAATTGCAAGGGACAAATCACCACATGGTAGAGTAAGTATCGGCTGACCACACACCAGCTAGTGTCACAATCTTCCAAGGAGGTGACAACCTGCCAATGAACAAGCAAAATTGCTTATATTAACGAAAAAGAAGAAGAATACTCTTTCTGTTATGTCTTCAACTTTTGTCTGGTGCCTAATCGATGTATTTTTTTTATCTCTTAGAGCTATTCCTAAAAGTTTTCTTCTTATAGCTCTCTGGTGTATTTTAACTCTATACCTTATTTCATTAAGCGATGCAGGGCATATAAACAACGATAAATTAAACAGATAATTGTTAAAGATGTTCCAAATGAGTCTACTCGTTCCGATAAGTAACAGTATAATTATGACACTTTATTATTTTTTTTCTTTTCCCAAATATTCGTGTTTATTGTATAGTAAATAAATTAATGGTATCAATGAATACATAGTAAGTAAAAAAATAATCCAATTTATAAAATTAATGAATATTTTATGTATAAATGCAAGTAACAATTCTTCAAAAATATTTAAAAACTAACCAAAATGTCCATCTTTATTTCGTCTGCCAATGTTGTAAGCAGCTCATACCGGTTCAGATACATTAACTAATTTTAAACTGTGGTGTTTAAAGCTGCCTACAAAGGTTGTCTCATTCTAATTTTTTGAAAACATCTTCCAAGTGTAGCAGTGAAGAGTTTGGGGGATACCATATCCCCTTGTCTTACTCATCGTTGTATCATAACTTCTCTTGTTAGGTCATGTAGCTGTATGCTTAAGGTTGTTTTACGATAGATTTTTTTTAATTTATATTGATATATTGTTGATCTATTCTGGCATTTCGTACTGCAGAACTACTAAGGCCAACCATAAAGGTATATTATACTCATTTGTCTTTTCTATTATTTGTTTGACTGTGTGTAGATGTTCTGTTGTACTGTAATGCTTCCTGAATCCTACCTGCTCCTTCACTTAATACAGCTGCTTTGACTGGTATTTTCTTTCCAGTTTATTTGTTATTATTATCATAAAAAGCTTGTATATTGGATACAGGAGACTTATAGGACCTATTGCTTGTATATCAGTATCTTTGTACATACTATGTTAATTGAAGGGAACACCCTGTATTTTTTGTCAAGTTTATTTTTAAATTGATAATCAAAACCTTGTATTTTATTCCTATAATAATAGGTAAACATACTTAACTTTCTTTTAAACTATTATGAGCATAAAGTATCAATTATTAACAAAATTAATTGTATTAACGAAACAATTTTTTATTAATTTACGGTTTAATTTAGTTAACAGAAGAATTTGTAGATTTCTTGATTTGAAATATTGCATTATACTTTATATCATTGTATTCATATTAGAGTATTAATATTATTGAATATGAAGTTAATTATAATTACCCTCCTGCAGACAAGCAATGTCTAGACTATCTTTGTTTTTAACCAAGTATTCCAGAGCCTGTGCAGCAACTTCATGTCTTCCCTCCTGTATGGAATGTGAAGTTGTAAAGAATGTATAATCAGCAAATTTCAACTTCAGTCTAAATGGACCTTTGGTTGAATCAATATCTTTCTTTTTTCTTAATTTTTTGTCATTGTAAATAGAGGCATTCAGTTTTTGCATATATGATTTCTTTTTATCAGTCATAACGATGTTGGAATGGAGTATTTCCTAAAATATAAGAATTATAGGTAACAGCAGACAAGTTAACAAATATATTTTGTAGGTTAAACCAATTTTTGAGCCATTACTCATAGTAGGACAAAGTAAAGTAATATTTTATAGATAAAATTACCTCTTTATTCCTATCTAGAAGATAATATGTAACTCCAACACCCAATTTAGAGGCTATATTATTTAGAAGAACAGTGGGAGTGAGTTTCTCAATATCTTCTGGGGTTTTGTTTTTTATTTCAGGAACATCATACTCAGTTTTTTCTAAAGCTTTTGTGGCAGCTTCTTGTTTGGCTTTTTTAAGACTTTTTCCTTTTCCTATATATTTTTCCTTGCCTAAGGTGAGTTCTACTGTAAACATCCTGTTATGTGGAGGACCCTATGAAGAGAAAATAGATAACTAATTTTAACTTCTAACCATAGGATAAACAAAAAGAACAAAAATTATATAATACTTTACCTACCTCTTCATTTTCAAGCTTGAAATAATAATCAATTTGATTGTAGCCAACTAGTTCATTCAGTCTGGATAATACTGGCTTTTCAGACTCCTCTACTGTTCCTACAGAAGTAAGGTTGAGAAGACCTTCAGTTTGTTTACTCTTCACAACCACAGTGTCTTTCTTTTTGGAATATATGTTATTAATATTACCTTAAAATAAAAAGGAATCAAAAATATTCTTCAATATCTAAATTATATTACCTTCTATGCAGAGCTCATCTTTAAATATATTTTTTAAATCTTTAACAGAGTGTGTCGTTGCGGTAACTGAAGTAAGGAAAATTATTTGAAGAAAAAAGATTAACTGTTTCTTCATTACTGAAAATATAACTTTAAATGTTAAAATAATAAAAGAAAATTGTTAAAATTTGATGATTTTTCAATTTGATCTTTTATCAGCTCTTTCTGTTTCTACACTCTCGGTACTTTTCACACGAACTTTATGTTACAGTGAGGCCAATACTTTTTGGTAAGATAGTAGTGGCTGTAGAATGTAGCAAATATACATTTTTTAGGATATGGAGAGAATTAAATAGAGATTTTCGCTATTAAATACCAAAAGTTTGTTCATACATATTATTTAACAATTCAAATATTTCACTAATTAATAAATATTTATTTACAGATGTATACAGCAAAATATTTTTGTGTTTATTAAGTTTGTGTGTTTCAGATGTAACTAACCGCCACATAGAGATTGTCAATGTCGTCTGTCGTCCCATGTAAAATTTTAAATTTGTAAATAAAGTAAACAGTAACATAGTTTAAATAAAAAATGGGAATTAAACATTTGTGGACAATTTTAACTCCGTATTGTGAACGAAAACCATTGTATGAATTACAAGGAAAAACAGTGGCCGTAGATTTGTCATGTTGGATATGCGAGGCTCAAAACATCGCTGAATATCAAATACAACCTCGAATGTATCTAAGGTAAAACAATTCTAAACTGAGAAAACAATATCATAAGTAATACTCTTTGAAAATAACTGCCGAGGTCGCTTCAAGCACTTTTTGATTATAGTTGTAAAATAATCTCCAGATATAAGAATAGTCCACAATATATATGATAAATCCAAAATAATTACTATGAGCTACATTTTTATTTTTTCTTTAGAAATCTCTACTTCAGAGCTTGTTACCTGCTTTTACTCGATGTAAACCCAGTCTTTATCTTGGAAGGTAGAGCACCAGAATTAAAATATGATACCATAGCTGCAAGAAATGTACTGCAGTTTAAAGGAGCAAAGCCCAAGGAAGATGGAGTAAAGACTGGTAAAGACAGATCTAGGTTTAATTTTGTTTTGAAAAGATGTGAAGAAATGCTCAGACTAATGGGAATATCATGCCTTAAAGGTAAAGGAGAAGCTGAAAGTCTCTGTGCATATCTTAATGAGGAAGGAGTGAGTACTTCTTAATATTTATGTAAAGCCCTTAATAAAATTCATGTTTAACAATTTTACTATTTTCTACAATTCATCATACTGCCTCATTGCTCTCTTTTCTACAATAGTTATAACTATATAATGTAAATTGTTTTTAGTTGGTTGATGCTTGCATTTCACAAGACTCAGACTGCTTTGCCTATGGTGCAAAGATAGTGTACAGAAACTTTTCCATAGCTTCACAGGGAGCCAATAAGTCTTCAGGGGGAGCTGTAGATATTTATGATATAACAAAGGCAATCGATAACATGAGTAAGCAGATATCTTTTTTACATTTGTTTTTTATGTTGCTAGTGCTAAGCATATCATTAAGACTCAAGATTTTACAAGAAATTAAATGTATCTTTTTTAGATATAAAACCATATAAGTTTTTTTTTGGACTTTAATGATAAGTTTTTGAAACTTTGTACACACATGTTGCATTATTTGACAGATTAATGAAAGCAGTAGTATACTATATTAAGATATAGGGTGTTTAATTTATTTTAAACTATACAAAATTTACTACAATACACCATGGAAAGTCAGTTTTATAAATCAGTTCAATTTTATTATCTTATGGTATATTGATAGGATTTTTCTAAATTGTGAAGAAATATTTGGAGAGTCTTTGTAGAATATTTACCCTGTCACATAGGATATCACTTTTGATTATTTTCTTCTTCTAGATTTTGGTAGGAACAAAATAATAGCTATGGCCTTACTGTGTGGAAGTGACTACTCAGAAGGTGTTCATGGTATAGGCAAGGAGTCTGTTTTGAAGTTTTTTGAAGATTTATCAGATAATGAAATTCTAGACAAGCTGCGTGCTTGGAGAACAAATGCAGAAGTTTACCAGAAACATGAAAACAAGCTTAATGATAAGAATATTTGTACATCTTGTGGACATATAGGAAAAGCTCGACAGCATACACAAAAAGGTAAGTTTTATTATGTTGTTTTTTGTATAATGTTTAATAAGTTATTTCTTAGCTTTACATATTTGAAGGTTGTGTTCCTTGTGGCATGTCAAAGGGTTGTTCAGATGAAAAGTATAAAGTTGAAAGACTGAAAATCAAAAATGAAGTTGCAATGAGAAGCAAAGCTCTAAAAGATCCAGAATTTCCTGATGAAAATCTAATAAAAGAATTTCTAACAAAAAAAGATCATGTGTCTAGGTTAGACCTGGAGTGGAAACAGCCAGATCTTGTAGAATTTGTGGTAAGTTATATGAAGAAATATGTTTTATGTAAGTTTTCCATTATTTGATCAATTCCAATCCCAATTCATTGAAATAACTATTCACTCATAGAATACCACCTGCAACATAAGTCATAGTGATCTACCAAACATCAGATAGTATCTAGGATATATCTCTGATGGAACAGAAGAAAAATTTCAAGAAAAAACAATTCAAAACTGGCAAAATATTTGCTCCCACATAGAGAAGATTGAAGAAATGGAATATGGAAATAAAGTACATTATGGATGAGGTTCAAGATTTAATAATGTTAGAGAAGATAATGTTAGTGAGAGTGAATTAGAACTGGCTCATAAATCGCTGGTGACCTGGCAATACCTCCTAAGTGATGTCAAACACTTTTTTCAGGAGAAACACAAAACTGATTAAATCGTTACTATAAGGACTTTTTTATTATTTTTTAAGTCAGTGTTTTAAATAATATAAGCTATAACGTTGTTTTGAAATAAAATAGTAGAATAGTTAAATTATGTATTTATTAGGACACTTAGGATATATTGATTCTTAAATATTGTCAAATAGGATATTTTACAACACTTTATTTTGGCTATAGGAGAAAATGATATAATAAAAAACATTGCTAACTTTTCTTTTCAAACTTAAAAAGTTATTTCTTACAACTTAAAACAAAAAAAATAGAAACAAGTTTGTTTTAGGGTTATATGTGTTAAATATGCACACATATTTTTTAAAATAATGATTCAGAACTTCAAAATTATTCATGTAAAAGTGCATCGTAAAATGCATGCGTATCTTTGGGAAGAACTGATTTTAACTCCTGCAGATGTTGCCACTTTTCAGACTTAATTTTGCATGGTCCTTGTAACAGTTTGGGATATTCCAATATTGTTGGCATAGTTTTTGGTCAACATGGGAGTCCTTTGTATTCGTTCTCATAATCTAATTTTACTCTTATAGTGCCGCATGGATCATATTGAATACTCTTGATGTCATTGATATTACTGGATCGTTGGTTTTTCTTCCAGGCCTAATAGAAGAGTATCTTAAATACTTAGAGGAGGAGAAATCTTTGAAAAATGAAGATTCCAGCAGTCTAGTTCTGTAAGGGGCATGAGTTTTTCTCGCTTCCTTCGTTACTGACTCATAATCGCTAGGCAAATGGATTTATCTATGCCTCAGACATCTTTCTATAACGCTATGTATCAAATCACACTCCATCTGGGTGTGACCCGGATCAAGAAATTTTTAGTATATAGAGATTTTGTATCTCATAGCAAAATTTAATAGTGCATTAGCTAAAACACTGTTTCTGTTCTGATATCCACATCCATTGGAGAACATCACGATTGGTGTTTTAGAATCAGTCAAGCAATACGTCTTCAAGTAATACATAATGCAACTTGTGAATGTTGATGCTTTCATTATATTATTCTGATCTCCAGAGAACCAGTAACAGAGGGCATCTTTTGTCCTAAGGTCATACACTGTAAAATTGTGACAACAGACCTTTGATTTTAAATAGATTTTATTAGCGGAAAAAAAAGGACCTTGACTGCCTGCAGATCCATTGTAATGACTATTAGATTGCCTTTTTCCGCTTCCTCTTTATCAGTATTCTTAGGTTCTCTCGCAAGATCTTTCCTTTTTATATGCAACTGATATTCGTCTTCGGAAATATTTCTATATTTAAACGAAAAATAAGTATTGCACTGGTCCTTTTTCGGCTTGTATAGTGACAAGTTCTTCTCTTTAAACTTCTTGGAAAAAAATTTCTTCCCAATGGAGTTACTTTTTTGTCGTTGCAAAAGTCATGACAGTAGATATTTTAAAGGTGAGCCATGTTTTCAAAGGTGTTTTCCAGGTACAGTTTAAGAGTATCTCGACGACAGTAATGAGCTGGAAGTTTGGGTAATGATTCAAAAAAGTTTTTTAATAATCCATAGTCCGTATCGAATCTCCTTACGTATTCCTTGGTGGTTATACTTGTAGAAGCTTCTTTACTATGTACTCCTATATAAATTAAATAGCAGAAACATCCTTCTAGTTTCGATAAAATTAAGTAATGTGTCTAAAATAGCTTTAACATAACTAAATAAACACATGTTGAATAAACAATTGACAAGTCCAAGCACTTCCGTAGCGCATAACTTTACCACACAAACTAGTTAGATAGGATAATTTGCGTCTTGTTTATTTCCTCTAGTCAGGTAGGAGATTTTTCAATAGCGATTTTAAGGCTCTCGGCTTAATCATACAAATACGAGATTTTAAACAAAGGTGTATCTTTATGCTACATGTTTAAATCTGGAAAAATCTCATTTTTGGCAAAAATGGCAGATAAGAGGTATTGCCAGGTCACCCGCGAAATATTGATAAGAAACTGGCAAAGAAAAATCTTGTTCTTCTTTGATAATTGTACAGCCCATAATATATATTCCACAAATGAAAGCAGTTAAAATCCAATATCTGCCCACCAATACTACATCAAAATTACAGCTTATGACTAAATTACAGCTACGACTCAGTGTACTTAACAAAACTATTATGTATACTGTGGTTTTCCATCATTGGTGTTGTCAGTAGAACATTAAACTAAAGATGTTTCTATTTCCCCTCCTGCAGAATTGGATTACAGTTTGAATCAGGAATGTTGCTTAGGACTTTGTTACTGATGAAATTATTGATTGAGTTGCTCAATAGAAGAGAGTAGTAAGATCAGCATTGAATAGTTTACTGAATTTTATAGTCAGTAACTCTGAATAAGAAAGACTTTTCTGCTCTTTATACCTTAGTTAGACAATGCTAAATTCTATAAATAGAGCAAACAAAATTACTGCATTTTTTTAATGCTCTGTTTATTTAATTCAAGAATGTTCTGAAATAATAATGATTTATAATAAATAAAAATGTGTTTGGTACCTTTTTAACTTTAATTTTTATTTGTTTTATCGCTCTAAGAATTAGTAAAAATTAATCTCAACCTATTTATGTCAAATCAAAAGCCAAAAACTTGATTTTTTTGTGTACACCTTGATGTGTGACCTATAAAGGTTCTATTGTATATATATGAAGTTCACATAGCATTACAAAATATATCAAACATAAATAATCGATTAAAAACTAAGAATTTTGAACATATATACAGTTTAATTAAACAAATTAAATAAATACAGTAATGAGAGTGATCTTTTAGCGTTTTACTACAAAATTCTTGCAATGGGAAGAAATTTACAGCTTCGAAAAAATTCTTCCAATACTAACTAGATGGCAATGTAGACATTATACATCAGTTCAGTCGACTAATTTAAAAAATGTCGTTCAACCCAGTCATATAAAAAAGACACGAAGTCCCAAAGGTAAGATTCATACTTTAACTTAGGAAGAAACAGAGTGCATATAAAGTCGTCTATTTCCAAAATTAATCTTATCCAAACTAGTATGTTTGTTAGAAAACGCAAAAAAATGTGTTTCTATTATTATCAGAACAAACTTTGTTACTCAAAATAAATAATCTAAATATATATGATACTTAAACAATAATATTTAAACGATTCAGAAGATAATTCAGCTATTATGTAAAATTTTCACAAACTAATGTAGTTAGCAAAAATAATTTAGATGTAGTATACTAAACAAAAGAAAAGTTATTTGAAAAACAAAGACATTTTGCAGGTATGAGGTAAAGTAAATAAAAAATATCAATGTATCCGGATTAAATAATTTTTTTATATGGGATTAAACCACAATTGATTATAATAAGAATTAAATTTTACATTTGTTTTGACGTTTAGATTTCCAATCCGGAAATAAAGAAAAAGGGATAGCACTAGCTCAACATTAGTCACACTGTCCATCCAGGAAATTCTTAGGATTCGTTTGTCACATTTCAAATAATCAATATCTCCGGCTTCTATATAACATGTAGCTTCTCCATTTGTAAAAATTTTAAAGTGTTTGTTTGTCTTTGTGTATTGTATTGTTATGTCCAAATTTACATGTATGACATTCTGCTCATGTCGGATAGGCCACAACTGACGAAATGCCCCTGAGGATGATCTATTGATCGAAAGTACTTGGGCAAGATTTAATTAATTACTGTGTTCGATATTTGCCTTGTATACCATCAAAATATAAATATTTCAAAGACTTCGAGCTTTCCTAAAGAAGCCTCTACTCCGTATAATAAAGTAGGAAATACATATCTTTTAATAACGTAAATATCTGATAATTATAGAGTTAAATTATCTTTTTTTATGGGAAAGAAGATGATAAATCTTCTAAAGATTGTACTAGGCCATGTCCCGTTAAGGATGCCCTAACGGTAGATTAAAGGTAGCAGTCATCCCAGAAGAGTCATGCTCACAGATGCAGCCATAGCTTCCTGCCTACCAACTAAAGTCCGCCCCCTCAACCGGACTACTGACGCGGTAGTCCTATAAAGACCGATGCATCACATTAATTTTATGAAAATGGAGATATTTATTTGCAATAACCGTCTCAGTTTAGAACTAAGACAAATAATAGTTACTACATTTGGTCCATACTTTTGTATGTAGCAGAAGTGTGGACACTAAAAGTATGAACAGAATTGAAACATTAGAAATGTGGATTTATAGATGGATGCTAAAGATACCTTGGACAGTAAGAAAAATTGATGAGCAAGTACTAAGGAAAGTCAACGAAGATAGAGAATTGCTAAAGACTTATCTGGGACATATAGTGATAGGAATTCGATATAGAATACTACAACTGATCCTTAAAAGCAAAATGGAAGGCCTTAGAGGTGTAGGAAGAAAACATTTTACTTTGTTAAAAAACATTCGTAAATGGATTCAGATATTACATGTAGGACAATTATTATATGTGGCAGAAGATCGAGAAGCCCTTGCAATGGTGATCGCCAACGTCGTCTAATTCTGGATTGGCACGTGAAGAAGAAGATCCTTTCTCAATCCAGTACAAAAACTATATGGCTTCTGGCCCTCAGGCCCTTGAGGATCATAGCTTCAGTTTTCTCGGCCGCTAGCATGAAGCCCCTGCTTCCCATTCACGTCTTCACTTTGTTGAAGGCTCGATTCACTTTATGCGTGATTGACCAGTTTTAGTTGTGCTCCACCAGCATCACCAGGCACCGCATACGCTATTGCCTGTACACCAATGCTCAGGTCGGCCCACAAAATCTCGTATAGAACATTCCAAAGCAATGGCATCAGCTACGGAGCCCTTCGGTTATCCCTCGTAATATTGATGCACCTATATGTGAAGTAGTTTCTGGCTAAGTTCTGTAGATAGGGAGATATATCCAAGTCTCGCAGTAATCTGGCGATAATTTTCAAGCAAGCACTATTAAAAGCATTTCTTATGCTGAAAAATAAAGCCACTATCGATCTTCTCCTACATTATCTCTCTCTCCAGCCTTATCTTCACACGAATCTTAAAGACCTTGCTTAAGGTATTTACTAGGAATATTAATAGGTCTGTACGCCCAGGCTCTCCTAACTCTTTTCCCGGTTTCCGGATAAGTATGAGATTTGCCGTTTTCAGATCTCCTGGGAACTGTTGCCTTCTTGGCAGGTTGTATATAATATCCTGTACCCATTACACTTTCAACTCGATGATGATTTTTATTATCTCGGGTACTACCTTATGAGGCTCAGGCACTTTTTCCTTCTTTGAGCGTTTTGCCAGCTTCCGTCACTTCTCTTGTAAATTCAGTCACGGATGTCTCCACTTGGAGTGACGTAAAGCATACTTCCTCCCTCTGTGGAAAAAGAGCATTGACCAGTTCTTCCTTTCGACTCTCCTCGATTATAAATAAACTTTCTGTCCCTTTAAAATTCTTGACAACTATTTGGTAGGCATATGGTAGGCATACACCCAGATATACTTTTCAAGATTTTCACAAATCGTCATTTTTTCGTCGTTTATTTCTCGCACCAACTCTTTCTTCATGGCTTTTAGTCTTTCTACCTCCTCTTCCTTCGCGCGGTGTCTACCTCTGTCTCAAATAACTTTTCTTCTTAGCTCGATGTAGTGTTCTATTATTTCTTTAATCCTCTCCGTTCACTGGTTGACTGTTTGCTCTCAAACCCCGCGGGCTGCACTTTTCGCCATATCTTTTATTTTCTCGTATACCTCTTCGACCGAAGTTTCGAGCGTGGCTCTTCATCTCTTGGATTTCCTCTTTGAGTCGTGTCTTATCAAGATATTTCGACCCGCCTCCCTCTCTTGGTTTTTTACGTTTTCTCTAATTTTACACCAAATTTACTGGTGGTGAGTGATTATTCCTTGCCCTGTCCTGCCTTGTTCTCCGACCAGTTGTGCCCGTCCTGTGTTTCTTTGTTTCCTGCTGGGACAATTTCCCTTCTCTCTGCTGCTACTGCTCTTTAAAAGCCATCCTCCGGTCATTGTTTGTCCACTTACTTCTTATATTCTCCTTCACTCATTCGTCTCTCTAAGCAAGCTGAAATCTCCCTTCCCTTCTTTTTTCCTCCTTTTCATATCGTTTTATGTCCCTTTTCTTAACTGTTTCCATCATTGGGGATCTTCTCAGTTTTTTCTTTGTAGTTTTCCATTTTCGTCTGAAGTACATATTTTGTAGGGTTGTTATAGCAGTCTTAAGCTTTGGTTTTCACGTGCTCCTGTTTTGCCTTCCATTTCTTTAGGATCTCTTCCACCGCCTTTCTTAACATGCCTAGTTCTTCGCTTTCTCTCCTCTCTTTTGCGGCCTCCCCTGAATCGTTAATATTCTTTCTCTTTTCCTTTTCGGTCCCTGACTTTTTGCTGATTCTCTCGTTCTCTACCTCGCTATAAGTCCTCGTAGGTGATCTTTCTATGGAGTCTCTCCTTCCCAAGATGTCAGATTCCACCAGTTCTTCAAGCCGTTTCCACTCCGTGTCATCGTGCAGGTCGTCATCGTTTTCCTTTCGATTTGTTTTATTCAAACTTGTCGGTTGTTTCGTATCCATATCCACGCGTCAGGAAGAACAAAGGTCCAGCTGGCCAGTGCTCGCTTATCCGGCTAAGACATTTATCACTCCAGAAGGTTGCCAGGATATCCCGGAGGCGCCGTTCGATACTGCTTTACGCGCAGTTATTCATCATCTTGTTACGGTGGCTCACGAGTAGGGATCGCGAATTTTTTATCGAGGTGTACTTCTCTTGATTTGCCACGGTTTTCTCCGGTAGCAGTAACAGCAACGCTCGTATACCGCCTGGTGTTCCTCAGTGTAGCTGCTTACCCTACACTATGGGGTGATAAAAAGGGGATAAAGGATGGATAACGGGTGGGTGATGCTTTCTGATTGTATTCGGAGTTAAGGCCTGATGGGATCAGGCCTTTGAATACCTTGGTCGTTGACCATTTGGTGACTATGATTTATGTCGCAGACATGGAAAGTAACAGTGAGAATCTGAGGGCCTTTAATTTTTGTCAGGGATTGGTACAATCAGAGGAAGGTTTTGTATGGAGGAGGTGGTTTTCATCGGTGGTGCTTCCCTCACGTTAGTAGATATCAAGATCGGTTATTCGGCCTTCCACCACGTTATCATTCCGCAGCTTCGGAAGGAAAATTAAATTATATTACAATGTATTAGCATTACTGTCATAAAGTGGCGTCCTAGGTTTCAGCCATATGGAGATAGGAGAAGACCTCCGACACGGTGGACGGACGACTGTAGATAACTGAGGGATGCGTATGTTTAGCAGTGGACGATACAGCCTGTGTGATGATGTCATCAAAATATCAATTACGAATTCTGTTGTATCCTTGTAACTTAAATTCGTATACTCCTACTTCTCCGGTCTGTTATTATTAATATATTATATAGTTATTGTTATTAACATGGCAATTAGTAAATCTTGGTAAACCTTTGGGTATACCTTTGTTCCTTTTGTCAATATTTTTATATTTTTCACCCTTCAACATTTTGTTTCAGCCACGATTTGCCACTCCTAGAAAATGTTCTAGTTATTTGTAGCTATTAGCTCTTCAGAATCACTCATTGAATGTATCACGTATATTTTTATTCTTGTATAAATAAAACTCGCAAAATGAAGTTGCTATATGCATGCATATTGTCAAAACTTGAAAAATGGTCGAGAGGTATTTGATGATATAATATACACAACGTGAATTTTGGGACAAATTTTTAATGGATGTGATTTTTCCAAACGTATAATTTCAGTTATAATAGCTTTTCTTTTTGGAAAAAAAAACTTTGGAATTGGACGACTTTAATGCAATTAAACTAATATTTTTTTTATACTTGTAGGCGTTCCTAGCTACGAAATCATCTGGTCTGATCCAGAAAACCATTTCAAGAA